AAATCCTTACAAAACCAATACTTGAAGATATAAATAACTAATCATTCAATTTTCACTAGATAAGAAGGAAGATCTGCGTAGATTAAATATTAGTTCATCACACACAACAACAAAAAAGAACACTGCACACAAAAAAGAACTAACTACTTAAACTGTCTTTCGTTATGCAAAAAAACAAGACAAAACAAAAAAGAGAGTAGAGTTAATAGACAAGAAATCAAACAGACAAAAGAAAAGGAAGGAGGAGAGAGAGAATGAAGAAAATACTATCCTAGACACTTACTAACATCTAAAATGACAGTATTTAGACAGATAATCAATATTGGAGAGGAAATGAATAAAGAGTGACGACACTATTGATTGAAGGGGGGAGGGGTCAGGGAACGAAGAAGAAGAAGAAGAAGAACAAGATATGAGTTGATTTGAACTGAGCTGAATTCAATTGAGACAAGAAAACGTATAAAAAGTATAGGATAATAATAAGTTTTATTGAATTTAAATGAAACTACTAAATTCCTAATTTTCGTTAACTTATGAGACCACCCATCAGATTGTGGGGAGCGAGGAGACATGAATACTCTGGACCACCGATAAGAAGACTCTATGAGATCTAGATTTTGCAGATGATATATGCCTAATATCACACAAACTCGAAGACTTACAGGCAAAATGAACAAACTGGCTGAAGAAGCAGGCAGCTAGCGAAAACAGGACTGCAGGTGAACATAGAGAAGACACAGGTGATAAATATAACCAACCACCATTAACGGGAGAGATTTAACAGAGGTTACCTCCTTCACTTATCTAGGAAGCATCGTTTCAACTACAGGTGGGACGGATGAAGACGTCAAAGCCAGTCAGCCAGCCAGAATCGGAAAGGCAAAATACGCCTTCATAAACCTAAAACCAGTTTGCAAATCTTCTGCTTTACTCAACCAGCCAGCATAAAGAACCAGGTGGATTCGAATTTTCAATACAATTGTGAAGTTAGCCAGTCAGTTCTTCTATACAGATCAGAAACTTGTACTGCGTGTCACGAAAAGGATTTCCAACAGCCTGTTGCACACTTTTATCAACACCTGCCCCCTTTGCTAGCTCCATACTGAAAATCAAATGGCCGGTGGAAAAAATTAGCAACAAGAAACTCTAACTGGGAACAAACCCACCCAATCACCGCTCAACAAATATGTAGGAGAAAATCGAGATGGATAGGGTTTACATTGAGGAGACTGTCGAATGACATTGCGCGCCAGGCCCTCTAGTAGAATTAAAATGGGAAGGCAACGAGTGGGTCGCCACTACGAGGGTGTCACGGAGAAGATCATCTAAGGAACAGATGAGAGATTATGAGCAATCGTGGGCCCAGCTAAAAAGGACGGCAGGAAATAGAACAAAGCGAAGATGTGTTGTTGAACCCCTATGTCCCACTCAAAACCCAAGGGAGTAATAATAATATAATAATATGAAAGCCGACTAGAAAGACTACATATACAGTAATCGTAATTACAGAATTCTTGAATAACTGAATAATATTCACACTTTGATTGAGGTTATTTTAATTTCACTCTACTTACAGAATCGCTCATTAATTCGCCTTAATCTGATACTCTATACGCCACAACATTACAACTATACCCTTGGGTTTCGAGTGGAATAATATGGCTTCAACATGGCATCTCTATTTTGCCTTCGTCCTCTGTAGTCTATTTTAAATGAGTCAACGATTGCGTACAAGCTCTCATCTCTTCCATGTCTCTGTTATACGCCTCAGGTCGTTGTCATCTACATCCAGCTTCTACTCATGACATAAATACCTTCACAATACACAAACGATTGATTCAAAGAGGATGAAAGTGATTATTGGTTAGTTGAAAACAATCGGCTGAAGGAAGCCTTGGAAGGAAGTCATGTCCCTTCCGAGATTCAAACCTGAATACCTCAGTAACAACGTCTCTGACTACAGCATTGGGTGATAAGGGTTCGAATCTCAGGAGAGATATGAGTCCCTTCAAGATTGCAGACACGCCTTGCTAACTAGTGAGTACCAACAAGTAGAAAACGTAGGTCCAAGGCTTCCTTCCGACTGCCTGCAACCATCTAATAACAACACAATCAAGCGTGCATCGTAATAGCGAGCCACCTAGCGACATGGTAGCCACATTGAACCAAGGACTAGACGCATGATACTGCCTAGTTACCAACTAGTGTCCGATTGAAGTAAAAGTGTTTAGTTAATGGTAAGGTTGACAGATCTTCTACCTACAGAGATAAAGTCTCGCTAACAGATAATAAGACTAGGATGTACTACTGGTGTTTAGAAAATCCAAGTCTTAACAACAAGTCTAAGACATGTCTCCTGTCCAATAGAAATAGAAGCAGTGACAACAATGCATTACTATTCCACAATAAGTTATTAGCTTCGCACCGAACGCTCTTTTTTCATCATATAAAACGAATACCAAACAAATTATTGTAGATTTTTTAATACTTAATCGTCCAAACATGCAGTCTACCATAGTTGCTTCTACTTCTACCTATGTAAATGAACGTGAACATTGAAAGTTGGTTCGTTGGCCTTGGTAGCCATTGGCGGGCAACTCGAAGGCGCGAATGATTCAATCGTGTACAAGTTGGAAGAAGACGAAAGAATACGAATAGAAGTACAGTACATTCATTGTAAAACATAAGTTTATAGATTTCTGTATCAATTTTAATTTTAATTGCCGAACAATACAAGTTACTACAAGTAATGGTGTTTTGATGTTAAAGTCGATAATCGGAGCGTCTTCGCGAATAATAGGAACTACCTGATGAGATACAAGGAGAGAGTTCTGCAGAGAGAGACAGAGAGAGGATGCTCAGAGTCCGATAAGATGATATTCGCCAATTTTTGCGTGTATCCCAGTGGCTGTCCACACGATAGTATTAACGAGTTGGTTTAGCGATACCCCCTCGCCCTTCACAATGTAACAAAGTCTTTCTTTAAGATCAGCCCAGTGAAGATTAAGGTGGGGAGCAATAAAGATCAGATAAAATACAAGAACTAACAAAACTGTACAAAGTAGAGACTAAGTTATACCAGATTGTCTTAACTTCTTTTTCCATAGAAGGTTAGACGAAGTATCTTTCTAGAGAATAACAACACAATTTGTGAGAAGATCAGGAAAGATCAGAGGAAAGATATATTTAAGATTCAATTTACTTTCAATTTCAGTGCTATATCTATGACACAAAAATCCTAGGAACGAACCAGTCAGTTTATGTAAATCCCCTGTGATAACAAATAAAATGGGTGGACAATTATACGCCTTACCCCTCTCCCTTCCACATTCATAGGTAGACAAATCAGACAGAAATCTTAGCAATTTGAGTTATATAACAAACTTGATCATCATTTTATAAGTTTAATCACAAGTTTTCAAGCATTGGTTTTGTAGGGATTTTGTGTTTGATTGCATGGAGGATTTCATCATGAGCTGACATCAGTTAGAGAACCATTGGAAAGCCTGCAGGGAGTACTGGACAGATGTTTCGTCCTATTTTGGGACTCTTCAGCAGTACGGACCCACCGGGATTCGAACCAAGGACCTTCTGGTTACAAGGCGAGCTCATAGACCATTGAGCCACTGGGACCCGATCCAATGGTTCTTGAATTCTAACTTCTGCCAATTCACGACATAGCGCGACCACTTCGCAATGTCTTCTTCGACGAGTTACTGCCTCATCTTCAACCTGCTGTACCCTACTGGTCACGGCTTCCCACTAGAACCCCAGGTTAACTTCCTGAATAGGGCCAGTCGCTGGTGAGCATCAGACTAATTTTCAAGTATTGGTTTTGTAGAGATTTTGTTTGATTGTATGGAGGATTTAATCATGAGCTGGCATCAGTTAGAGAACCACTGGAAAACCTGCAGGGAGTACTGGACAGCTGTTTCGTCCTAGTTTGGGACTCTTCAGCAGTATGCACCCACCGGGGTTCGGTTCATGATGAAACCCTCCATGTAATCACAAGTTGACATCATTTAGAGAACACCATTGCAAAACTAGCAGATGGAGTACTAGACAGCCAGCTGTTTCGTCCTAGTTTGAAACTCTTCACCGGGGTTCGAACCTAAGACCTACCAATTACAAGTAAAGCTCGTAGACCAACTCCTGCTAATTCGTGACATACATATATGCAGAGCGACAGTCGGCTATTTTTTTTTTATTTTTGATTACAGCTTGATTCCACACTGTATTTTCGGTACAAGTATGGAATTTTCAGCGTGGATATCGGTAGCCCAAATTTTGCAGGCCGACCATAGATATCAGGTGTGCGTCGGCGAGGGCTCGAACCCAGGACCATGTGCATGGTCGGCGAGAGTCCTAACCACTGTGCCACCGACGCACACGTAGTGTGTCATCAGTGGCGATCAATTGTCCTCATTCCCTGAACAACTTCGTTTCAGCTTCATTGCCTCTCCTCTGATAGGCATGAGAATCACTGTGAATCAATCGCCTTTTTATGTTTCTATAGTTTAATAACTGAGACGCCAGTTCGTCATCAAATATTTAAATCTAATGCAAAAAAAACTCACGAAAACTTAAAACACAACAAGAACAACAAAATTTTTTTTAAAAAAAACACGTTGTTGAAGAAAAAAGAGGAGAAAATAATAAAAGTGTGTTCCTATTTTTTTGTCTTTAACAAGACCAAAATCTCATTTCAAACAATTAAACAAACAAACAAAAATAAATAAATAAATACTATAAAAATAAATAAAATAAACATGTATTTAATCAGTTATTTTGCCTAGGCATACATAAAAGTAATTCAGAATTGTGCATATATGAGTTACCACACATACACACACATACGTAGTCGTTATTGTAAAACTACCTACACGCGCACAATCCACGTGCACTCACTCACTCACACACACACACACACACACACACAACAAACATGCTAATAAACAGACACTGAAAAAAAATAATAACTCTGTTCTAGAACAAGGACATAAACACATACAACAACAGTAACAACAATTTACCCATGGTAAATATGTATGTATATGTATATGTGTGTATATCCCCATAAAGAGTCATGAGCAATTCAGTGCAGTGCAATACAATTTAAGCAAGCATGCGAAGAAACCTTTTGGGTGCTCGCACACATACACACGCAGACACGCACACATACAAATGAATAAATAACAACCCGCTTTCCTCCCCGCCACCACCCCCAATACTGGTTGAACAATAAATTGACCATTATATCAAAACAAGTGTACCTGTGTACTCACTCATTCATTCAATACTAATATATATGTAATACAATACAGCACAGCACAGTACACCAAAAACAACAATCAAGCCTAATGAATTAAAATGAGTTCAACGAGTACATAGATAGGTAGATAGATAGATCATAGTCACATGATGACGTAAGTATACTACTACTACTACTAATAATAATAATAACAATCCTACATACTACATAAACACAATCAGCTGATTTTAAATGTAAAGGCACTCTATAAACCATACCACACCATACTACACCGCACAGTACAGCACCACACCACACCACAACAGTTAAACAAAGAAGAAAATAAGGAAAGTATCCAACAATAGATTGAAAATTACTACTACTACTACTACTACTAATACTAATACTAATATCCGGATCAATAATAACAAGGCAAGCTAACTCGTATACCATTCAGCCAGCCACTGGGACCCGATTCAATGGCCAGCCCATGAATTCTAACTTCTACCAATTCGTGATTTAGCGCGACTCGTAAAAACATAACTAATCCTTACAAACCAAAACTATAGAAAATTAATCTGATGCTCGCTAGTGACTGACTTGCTACAGAATGGAGTTTCCTGGAGTGAGTTCTAGTGAGAAGTCGTGACCAGTGAGATCCAGTTAGATGTCACGTGTGAGGATGGATGTCCCACCAACGACAATGTTTGAGGTCGCGCTAAATACATCACGAACTAGTAGAAGTTAGAATTCATGGGCTGGCCATTGAATCGGGTCCCAGTGGCTGGGTGAATGGTATACGAGCCAGCTTGACTTGTGACCGGAAGGTCCTAGGTTCGAACCCCACTCTGTGGGTGCGTACTGCCAATGATTCGCAAACTAGGCTGATGAAACAGCAGCTGTCCAGTACTCTCTGATTTTCAATGGTTCTCTAACTGATATCAATCCGTGATCAACTCGTAAAAACATAACTAACCCTTACAAACCAAAACTATACAATAATAACAGTAAAGCGAAGAAATAAGATCAGGGAATGAACTGAATTATTTAGACTGCAGAACGCAGAGAGAGTGGAGGAGGATAGGCTGGAGAATAAATCAACAAGAAGGAAATGCTCCTCCTTTAGTAAAGAAAAAAGAATAAACGAAAATAAAGGAGGCTGTGAAATTACATCGAGTGAGATGGTTAGGACATGTGTTACGTATGCCTAGTTGTCGCCTTCCTCGACGACAGGCAATGTTAGCTGACATAGGGCCAGGCTGGAGAGGAGCTAGCGGCGGTCAAACCAAAACATGTCTCCATCAGTCAATGAAATCCGCAACAGTTAGTTTAAGCCAGCCAGTTACGTAGAAAGGTGTAGACTTCCTGATTGGTTGGGGCCTTCGGGACGGTGGAAATCAATGGCTGGAGACAATTGGTGATATGGCTCGAAATCGTTCTCAGTGGCCAACTCAGATGCATCTACTTCTTGTGACTTATAATTTCAAATGAAACTATATTGTTCTTCGTTATTACTATTCCTTTTGTCTCATATCCCTGTCTGCTGTCTCTATTATGCATTTCTTCTACTTTCTTCTCTTACTTTGTGTGCTACAAGGAGTGGAGTGTAGCGACTTGAACTTCTGCACATCGGTGCAAAGTTCTATGTCGAAAACAGAGACACACAGACAAGGAGGTGAACACACTGAGCCATAAATCATAGGACCAACTCAATCTCCCGTGTTAAGTAGTATATTATGGTGAGAATATATTGAGTTTATGTGTCGAATGTTAGGTAAGAAGAGTAAGTCAATCAATCAGCTTGTGAGGTCAGAGCGATTGATAAGATGGCTAAGAGATGTGGTATGCATGCCAAGCCATCACCCACCTTACTCGACAATGTTCGCGCCAACATGAGATCAAGTTGGAAAAGAGTTGGATGTGATGAAATCAAAACCTGACAAATACTTTGAGCTAGCCAAACCAAAGAGGTATAGGACGGACTGCCTGATGTTGGCGTTCTCAAGATTATAAGAAGCGACGGCTGGAGACAATTGTTGATATGGTTGGAAATCGTTGTCAATGGTGCAGATAAATTGACACTGTTCGTGACCTCTTATATGTCGATTAAATTCAAATGTTTTCTCCATGTTACTAATGTTTGCGCCTATTGCTTACCGTATTAAAATGCAGTTGTTGGGTAATATACCATATATTGTTATGATCATTACTACTACTCTAAAACAGAATGATGACATTATACTACTCATTTAAGCAATACAAGCCAAATTTAGAGAATTAGAATATAGAGTCACAGTTTAATGATTGAAACAGGTTACTTAACAATTACACTTGCATATGTATGTAGTTTGCAACGAACCACACCTACTGTAGGTGAAGTTAGTGATACTAATATATCTAGCTGCCCAAACCTAAGTAAGCGAAACAAGATAGAAACTCTCTTGACCCAGTTAGTTGGAAGTTAGGCGCCTCCATCAATGAACCACACACACAACTTCATGTGCAATAAGGCTTATAATATTACTACTTAGTTACTCAGTTAAATTTACTAGTGTGGCGCCAATTGTTATTTTTCACTACTACAGCCATAACTTATACTGCCTAGACTCATTATTCATTAGAGGAGATCAAACAATCCAACCAGAAAGACTTAAGCGACAAGGAACTTTGACAGGCAGCCAAAATGCCAACTAGGTATTACAAAAGGAAATGGAGGTAGACGGGAAGTATACTAAGACTTTCAGCTGATATGACACATTAGACTCTCAAGTGGGATCTAAATGGTGCGCATCGAGTCAGGCATCCTACGGTTACACGGGGTGGGGTGGGGAGGAGGGGGCAGAAACGAGGAAGTTGGGTAAAATGAAAGCATTGTAGGTAAAATCGTGGAGCCAGTTAAAACAGATGATGACAGAGAACAGAGTACAATGGAGATGTGTTCCTGAAGCCTTATGTTCCATTCAGGAAGCAGGGAAAGAAATAATAACAATGGGTGTAGAATTTTGTACAGAAGTCTACCGAATTAAGTTACCACACCCCATGTAAGTACCTCCACAAAGGTGGGTGGAGAAGAAAAATGAAATTCAAAACAACCATAATGAACTGAAAGGTGCTGGAGAAAGAATTATTGATTTTAATTTTATTCCTTTACGTTCCGAGTGGGATAATATAGGGTGACTCCAAGCCTCTTGAGTCTAGAAGTCCCAGTAGCAGTGGTGTTATTCTTTTCTACGGGGGTGGAGTTGTTAACCTAACGCCTTACACAACCTTTCCTCTTTCCATCAGACCTACTAGCGGCTAGGCGGGGCTAAGAACTGCGTCAGTCAAGGATCGAACCTAGGACCACGTCAGGCATGGTTGCCGCCGAGTGGATTCATCCTATCGCCGAACCACTGACATAGAAAAAACATGGAGACTTAATGGATCTAGGATATTACATAGAGTGAATGTATTTACGTTGTTTGCGAACAGTTTCAAGCCATATCGTCATTACCAACAGTCTCAAACCATTACTTCTCAACGTCTCGAGGATATCAACTAGACAATCTGTGCACCCGCCTACATTACTCACACCGACGAATCAAACACTTTACGGATTGACTGATTGATTGATTGATTGGTGCTAGGTTTTAGTTTGGCTACTTTTAACCCTTTTTTTCCAACCTAATCCTCCTATATCATCAGCTATACACACACACACACACACACCCGGTAAAACAAAAATAAAAACTAAGAACAAATAAATAAACATGAATGAATACGTGACCATAGTTAGGAGAGAGAGAGAGAAAAAAAAGCAACAACAACAAAAAAGTGTAAACAGTTATAAAACACACAAGAAAAAACAAAACATATTTGATAAAAGACAAAACCCTCAAAAGGAGATAATCAGTACACACGCACACATGCACACAAATGATATGTAAACAAGATTGCTTTAGGATTGAATTTTGTTCAAGAATTGACACGTCATTTAGAAAGATAGAGAGAGAGAGAGAAAGGGAATCATTGAAAACCAGCAAGCAGAGGTGGAGGCAGAGCTGGACAGTTGTTTCGCCCATGTCTGGGACTACTCCTCAACCGTACACACCCATAACTCTACTGCTAAGGGCCGAACCCTGAACTTCTATACATCATTCAGCCACTAGGACAGAATCCAATGGCCAATCCCGTCTATTCAAACTTCTGAGTGGTTTCCAATGTTTCCCTAACTGAAGCGTCAATTCGTTGATCAGAGCTGCAGTTAATCAAATAGCTGTATACCCAAACACAGGAAAATCTGATCTTTATAATATCATTCAGATCATTTGTGACTGCGAAAATGTGGTGTACAAAAGCTCAAAATACTGAATCAAGATTTTACACGCTAGAAAGGTTGTTCAGATAGTGGTTAGAATAATAGCAGTCATCATCAGAGTGAGGGTCGAAGTTGTATTGCTGGCGAAGAAGGATGTGACAGTAGTAACCTATTTCGCTTAGATAATTAGCATGCTATGATTCCAGAGATGCAGTAAGGAGGAGGGGGGGTTAGAAATTGTACATCCTGAGTAACCAACTCTACGACTATCAATGACAGGTGGTAAGTTGTTAACTCTAAAAACAAGTTCAAACAGGCCATGTGTGTGTGAGTGGTTTCACGCAGTTGTCTCCTCTTGGGCTCTGAAGTTACGCAACATTAACTAATCCTTCCTGTTGCAAGTACATTAAGAATAAATCAACTTCCATACCTTTCCATTTCTATAATAAGTATATACAGCTGAACTTTAGAGCGAATATGCTTCATTTTAACTATTTACAATTCACGGAGTAATAATAGAATATTAGAGTGAAAGTGTGAATTTCATTAGGATTCAAAGCAAAGGTCATCAACGTTGTTGCCAAAGAATTTTTAAATACTTTAACGATTGATTATACTACATCGAATTATCAATAAAGTTTCGATTTCATTCGCCTCTGATTCATCTGTTCATTCATTCATTCACAATCACACTAACTTCCCAAAAAGACTTCCTTAGTCTGGAAAAAAAACCCAAGTAGTCTATGTCAGACAGTTTGAATCCTTACTTGGTTATAGTGTGTATCATGATACTCGAGGAGAATGCAGGATGTTTACATTCAAATAAAGCGCTTATTATTTTGTAAAAACTAAAGTCTCCTAAAAAGATAAGAATAAATTTTATCGGTTGAAAACCAGCAGGGAGTGCCCGGACAGCAGTTTCGCGCACGCATGACTTCCACCGATTATCGAGAATTTGTGACCAGTGGAGTCTATCTTGTCGACCAAATCAGATGCCGTGACAACTGCGGTTGCCGATGGCGCCAAAAAAATTTGAAAATCGATAAAAGTTAGAACTCATAGGCCATCGGATTGGATGCCTAGTGCAGTCATGGATGTGTACTGTGTACTGAAGAGTTGTCCCAAACTAGGACGAAACAGTTGTTTAGTAATTCATCTATCTACTTTCTGGTCTTCAATGCTTCTCTTCAACGGATATCAATGCATAGTTAAGGGGGAGGGACCAATCAAATCTTTACAAACACTAAAACTTCGAGGTTGTAGATACGCCTTACTGAATGGTGAGTGGCAACTAGCACAAAACCTAGGCCAAACAAGGCTTCCTGCCGCTGACTGCCTCCAACTATTTGATAGCAACAATTCACAATGCACCGTGATGGCGAGCCACCTAGTGGCATAGTGGCCACATTGCAAGCTTGACTGATAGAATTCAGTCTGCATCAAACAGAGGACTAGACACATTCCCCTAGTCAATGACTAGTGTTCAATCAAAAATACTTGGGAATAAATTTTATCCCAAATAAAATTCATTAGAAAAATCAAAAATCTATGAAGACTACTCATATTATTACTACTATTACCTACTCGCTTAAAACTCAGTGAGTAAGAGCTACAAAGCAAACCAATGGTATACAAGACAGAAAGAGGAACCTGATATATGCTCTTTCCTCGAGGATTCGGAAGATATGCAACGAGGAAGTGGTTGATAAAGAACTGAGTAATCTCCGAAAAACCCTGATGGAAAACGGTTTCCCGCCTAGGTTCATAGACAAGAACTTCAAATCAAAAAAGACTTCCGAACAAGTTCAATCCGTTCCAAAGAAAATACTTCTGCTTAATCTAGAATTCAAAAGTGATATTGAAGCAGAAATCCTTCGTAAACGCCTCTCCAAATCGCTGAGGAAAACATACTTCGCCGAGAGCCCACGACTGACGTTTTCGTGCAAGAAACTGTTCAGCCAGAACACGAAAGATAAAGCCGTCGCATTGGGCCACCTCAACGTACATATGCCAGTTTACTTGCTCTTGTGGAGCTGAGTACATCGGCCGTACCATGCACCGACTTGAAAAACACGCTCGTGACCACTATTCAGCCTGGCTAGTGAAAGGAGACCAAAAACGTGTATATAGTTCAGTGACAGAACATCTGGTCAGTTCGGCACATTCAACGCCTTTCGAAAAATCCTTCAAAGTAATATACAAGATTCGATCAAACCTATCAAAGAGAGTAAAATTCAGATATCTGGGCATAGCCGAGGCACTAGCTATCCAAAAGATCAAACCCACGCTATGTATCCAAATGAAATACGTCCAACCCTTCTCCCTACCATGGTCATGATAAACAGGTAATTCTCTTAGTAATGACCATCGCATCGCCTTTCTTATCCAAACTTCCTGTTTATTCATGTTATTTCTGTTTTTCTTAATCCCTGTTTACACTACCATATTTTCATATCCGAACTTCCTGTCTATTTTGTCCTTTTACTATTTCTACATATTTAATCCCTGATTGCATAAACAATTATATTCGTCACATTAGTCATGATCCCACTGGTTTTTTTTATCCAAACATCCTGATTATTTTGTTATCTCTACATTACTAACACCTAATTGCACAATATGTAAATCTTCTCAATAATTATGGTGCTACTTTGTTTCAATTTTATCCGCCCCGCCTGTTTGCTATGGCATTTTAACTCCTAAATGTAATTCTATTAGTTTGACCTTTGACGGGAAATCATTCTGGAAACTTCCCACCCACTCTATATCATAAATACACGAATGTACAGCTCTCTGTCTAGTTGATGACTTCGTTGAAAAGAAAATTTTCTTTCTTCACTGCAATTGTCTTCTTTAATAACTCCTATGACCCAATGTGTATATTCTGTGATTTGAAGGACCGTTCAACTATACAGTAGTCGTTCAACGCCAAGTGTAGTCACCCGAAACACACAAAGAGTTTTACTTCTACAGTCTACTAGGTGGGAGTGTGGAGGGGCGGGGGGGGGGCTCGAAAAAACAGCATCCAACACACACTATATATGCGTAAATATATCAAGAAAAAAAGTGTGTAACACACTTACCCATCATTATGATTAGATGATGATAAATCTTCATTTTCCATTGGAATTGAACTGGATAATAATGCTTCCTGGGAATTCTGTTGTTGTTGTTGTAATGTTCTAATAATTGATGGAGGCATACATTGAAGACGTTGATGATCAATACCCAATAATACCGGAGATGATGATGATGATGATGATGATGTTGACAACGATGATGAGGGAGTTATGCATGAAGATACACATAAAGCAGTATTCAATGAAGATTGTTCTTCCGATTGTGGTACTGGTAGTGGCGGCGGCGGTGGTTGTAAGCAATAATTACTTTGTACAAAGGCACATGGTGATGATAAGCATGACGATGAAGGGATAGTGATGAAAGGATTTTTCATAAATGTATTACAAAATAGATTATTCTTATTTTCGTTACCATTATCATTATTATTATCATCATTTTGAGATTCTTTACTAGATAGAAACTGGTAACTATCGTTATCAAAACTGTTTCTGTTGTTGTTGCTATTATTATTATTATTATCAATGTTGTTCACACCGTCACCGTTGTCATGACAACTGTTATGACTATAATTGGTTTCTTCTTCTGCTTCTTCTTCTGGTTCTACCGCCTCCTCACCATCCCCCTCCTCTTCTCCATCATCATCGTCATCATATTGGTTTGTATTACTGATACTGTTGTTATTGTTGTTATTATTATTATTTGAATGATTAGTTAAATTCAAGTCAGCTGATGACGATGATGATTTTGATGATGTTTGACGACGTTTACGAAATGCTTGACTAATTAAACATGCTTCACAATATGGATCTAATTGCCAAAATGCACCTTTACCCGGTTCAGAATGTGAACGTGGTACACGTATAAAATAACGATTTAGCGATAAATTATGACGTATTGAATTCTTTGATAATGATAATAAGAATTATCATGTTATTGTATGTATACATTAGAATTGAATTCCATTCATTCATTCATTCATTCATTAAGATGAGTAGAATTAAAGCGTACACAAGCGGAAAAGAAAAAGAAAAATATTATTGTTATTATTATTATTAATATTTGAGAATAGAGATATGATTCAAATTTGACCAGGGATTGATATCAGTTAGAGAACCATTGAAAACCAGTAGGGGGAGGGCTGGACGACCCAGCTTGCTTCATCAGCCTAGATTGGGGATTGCCCAACAATACACACCCCCACCACCAGGGTTCGAACCTAAGAGACCTTCCGGTTATAAGTCAGGTTCGTGGACTGTCTGTCTGTTTTCGACCCAGAACTTTGCACATATGTGTGGCAGTTCAAGTCGCCAAACTCCACTCCTTGTAGCACACAAAGAAGAGAAGAAATGCATATTAGAGAGGCGCGAAACAAAGGAATAGTAGTAACGAAGAACGATGTAGTTTCATTGGAAATCATAAGTCACAAGAAGTTGATGCATCTGCAGCAGCCATTGAGAACGATTTTGAGCCATATCACCAATTGTCTCCAGCCTTCATTGGTTTTTACCGTCCCGAGGACCCCAACCAATCAAGAAGTCTACACCTTCCTACGTGGCTTAAACTAACTGTCGTGGATTCCACTGGTTCGACCGCCGCTAGCTCTTTTCCAGCCTGACCCTATGTCAGCTAACATCGCCCATCGGTCGAGGAAGGCGATGACTAAGCATACGTAACACATGTCATAACCATCTTAGTCGATATAATTTCACAGCCTCGTCGATTGATCTCCCCTCCTTACTTAGCACTGGACCGATGCCTAACCTCAATATTGCTCACCCTATTATACTTACCACTTCATACGGGAGATAGAGCGCAGGCACCTATGATCAAAGACAGCTAATCTTTTCATGTCTTCCACTCTTAGTGGCCAGGTCTCACAACCATAAAGGAGGACGGAGCGGACTGATGAGCAGTACACTCGTCCTTTGGTCGATAGTCGGATATCACGTCTACGCCAGAGACGGTGTAAACTGGCTATTGCGAAACTAGCCCTCTGTATCCGTACTCAGCTGAGATTTCGTCAGAGATCAACCCGTTGGAGCTGGTGGTACGTGGCTTGTGGACTATTCAGTCGTCACTGGGCTCTCTATGAATTCTAACTTCTACCAATTCGTGATTTTAGCGCGACCGTCAGTCAATATCATCGGTACCGAGTATTTTTCCTCACTCCCGACCTGGGTGACCTAACTCCAGACAACTCTGTCTTGTAGCCAGTCACTACTGACCATCAGATTACTTTTCAAGATATGATATATGTGTACTATGTGTGGAAACAATGTTCACAGCATTAAACTATAATCACTTAATATCAATTATAGATTATTACACTCTGTAGAATGTTGGGGTTAATACTTGCAGGTGACGCGTCTTCCTCGACGGGGAATATTAGCTGAAAAAGGATCAGGTTGGAAAAGAGTTAGCTAGTGGTGATTAAACCAAAACCTCGAGACAGTCCATTCAATCTTTAAAAGTTAATTTGAGCCAGTCAATCATATAGGGAGTTGTAAGGAGGACCTTCTGGTTAAGATTCTCGGAATGCCAAGAACCAAATAGCTGAAGACCACTGATGGTAATAATAATGATGATGATGATATGGCTCCGAAACGTTCTCGATGGCTGTTGCTGCTTTTGAATCTGCTGTTTTTCCCTGTCTTTTCATCTTTCTCTGTCTGCTAAACAGAGTATGGCAAGTCGAGCTGTTGGGCTGATTTGGAAATTCCTATACTGAAACCAGTCAGTTAGAGTGACACCACGTGCTAGACAGGCCTTCAGGTGAATGAAACCTGAGGGTGACATGCGGCAGATAGTGTCATGAGGAGGCAAGAGCTTACTGGAGGCAATCCTGGAGGGAGCTAGGTAAAGAGGACTACACGGTAGTCTATACTCCTTTTCTCAACTGACTCCATAACTTTCCACAAGCTTTCACATGATCTCCTCCACCATGCCCACCCAATCCGTTGCTTCTCATTCAAAGGCCTGAAGTGGGATGTGTGTGTGTGAGTAAGTAAACTACGCATCTGATTCAACACACACACACACACACACGGACAAGTGCATTCCACCATCCATTACAATACATTTGAATTCATAACTCTTAAAATGTCTCAACTACAGGAGGAACGGATGAGGATGTCAAAATGAGCGAGAATCGGGAAGGCGAGAACGCACACATTCATCAACCTGAAACCAATCTGGAAATCTTCGTCACTCAGCATCACCAACAAAATTCGGATTTTCAATACAAACGTAAAGTCAGTCAGTTCTCCTATACGGATCAGAATCTTGGAGGGTCACCAAGAATATTTCCAACAGCCTGTTGGAGACCTTTATTAACAACTGCCTTCGCTCTATACTGAAGATCAGATGGTCGAGCCGGAAAGAGTCACCAACTATGGGAAACTATGGGAAGAAACAAAACAAGAACCAATCGCCGCCCAACAAATATGCAGAAGAAAGTGAATTGGGATGGATTGGACACTCGCTGAGGAGGCCACCACTGCGTGACATCGCGCGTCAAGCCCTTGAGTGGAACCCGAAAGGGAAGCGGCGTGTGAGACGTCGGTGCAAGGGTGACATGGAGGAGATCGTGTGAAGAGAGAGGAGTTGAAACAGTATGGACTAACTAACATGGATACAGGTGAAAGGTACAGCAGAGGACAGAAGCAAATGGAGACGTGCAGTTGAAGCCCTATGTCCCACTAGGAACTCAAGGGAGCAATAATAATAAAATGCCAGTTGTTAAATACAGAGAACTAAATTTTTAAATTCTATTCAGCATGTGTAAATAGGACAGATAAGACAAACAAAAACAGGAGAAGACAAAATAATCGAAGTATGAAAAGAAAGGAAGAAAGAAGGAAAAAAGAATCATAATAATCAGACTGTCGTATTTGAATTCATTTATGCATAAAATTTATGAAGTGTAGGCGAGTGTGAATAATTAAAAGGATGGAAAAAACGACAGAGAAGGAGAAAGAGAGAGAGAGAGAAGGGCAGACAGACAGATAGACAGAATGACTTAGGCTGACGTAGAAAAAATAACTTGTGGCTAAAAAGTTGCTGAGTATGAAATCTCCCCATCCCACCCCCTACACATGTTTTTTTTCTCAAGATTATTATTGTTCTTCAAGTTTCAATAATTCATCAGTATCTACCTTCATGAGACGTATAGGGAACCTCGCCTAACCTCGCCTAGTATGCTAAGCCCGGGGAGAAGTGGGCAGTTTGAGTATGAGGCTAGTGATCCTGCCCCGGGAAATCAATTCTGTTGCTACAGTAAGTTCGAAGCACTAGAGAAAAATACACACACACATACACAAAAAAACAAGCCTATTCTTCGTTGAAATTGAGGAGGCGAAAGGATGCGCGGGCTATTGGAAGCTTATTGGAAGTCAGTAAGTCAGCCGATGTATCTTCTTTCGATAAAAGTAAAAATATACATGGAGAATTGGAATGTTTGTACAATTTATCAACAAAAAAAGATGGAGATGGATCGGACACACTCTGAGAAGACCGTTAGGTGACACATCGCGTGCCAAGCCCTCAAGTGGGACCAGAGTGGGAAACGACGAGTTGGGCTGGGTCTGAGGGTGACATGGAGAGGATGAAAGCTTATGGGTAATCGTCGGGTTAGCTGAAGAGAATTGCAGTAAACAGGATAAAATGCAGACGTTTTATTGAAGTCTTATGTTCCACTCGGAACCTAAGGGAGTAATACTGTGGCGAGAGCTGGCTGCTAGCCAAAATTGGTAGACAGTAATTTACGTCCCCAATATTGGTGGTGAGAAAAAATAAGAACAAAAAGACTGATTCAACAACCAGTCACAGTAGACTTTGCGTAGGCGGATACAGTTAGCGTATAGATGATCTGACATTCAAGAAACAGACACACAGAGATGAAAGATTAACTTTCAGTGAGAAACAATCAATCAGAAGACTATGTTTTTCTGCTAAAAATAATCTATAATAATGTACATAAAAATCTATAAATATGTGTTGATTTCCTTAATATAAACGATCTGTTGCCTGGCCCTTGTCTTCTGCCGATACAATACTACTACTAATAATATAGGGAACTAATCTAACGATGATAACAAATGTAAATAGCAATATCTGCTCGACTCCCAACGAATTCTTGGATAGGCCTAGTGAGATGTTCCTCTAAGCATTGATGCTTAACATCATCTTGAGGACCTCAGTGACACAGATGAGTACACTCACCTACGCAACTTATAGATCGTATTCATTAGCTGTAGATAATTGATCTGGTTAGTCTCAGAACCTTTTAATCTCATATTTTTGACTTCAGTTAACATTACAAAGGCATAAGTAACTTTTCAACCATATCATATTACGTGTCATCCTCAAAGAGACACCCGACTCATCGTTTCCTATTCGCGTTCTACCGGACGGCCTGGAGCACATGAATGTTATCTTAGAGTATTTTAAATCCATCAAAACATTTTCTGCTGTATGTTTATTGAGTGATAGGTTTTTGGTTGGTTGGTTCGTTCGTTCGTTGTCGAAGTTCTTTTTGTTTTGTTTCTCCGGTCCTCGGATCTTCAGTATTGAGCCCAGTAAAGCCAGGTGATGATGATGATGAAATTAATTAAGACTGCATCATTTCATCTCTCCGAGTGCAATGAAGAATATTGGATACAGGATATACAGTTTGGATATACAGGATTTCATCATGAGCTGCTGACATTGGTTAAAGAACCATTGGAATACCAGCAGGTGGAGTACTGTCAGATAGCTGTTTCGTCCAACTAGTTTGGAACTCTTTAGAAGTACACACCCACACTGTGGGGTTCGAACCTAGGACCTTCTGGTTACAATCAACTAAATCCCTATAAACCAATACTTGAAGAATAAGTTTTTCATTGTTTTTTATATTTTTCC